TGCAAACTATAGACCTTGTGAAACTTCTTCTTTGCATTCACCGGCTGTAAACTCCGGCTGAAAGTTCAAATTCTGAACATTGGTCTTGTTCTAGAACCTGTGTGTTGCATGCACATCTGCTTCACACATCTGGCTTATTTGTGGCGTCTGTCTAATTTCTTATGTGTTTTTCTTAGCTTTGTCCATCTGTAAACTCCAGTGGACAGTTCTGGTTGTTTCTCCACTTCTTGACTTTAAATCTTGTTCCAGAACTTGAGGTTTGCACATTTATTCTACAGTACTGGCTTATTTGAATGCAGACTGTTGGTTCTTCGCCTCTCGGACAGATGCACTCCAATTTTGAAGGTTATCTGCCCTATGATTTAACTGTGCAACAGTTAAGACCTCAGATTAAATTTTTTTTTCAAATCTCAAAGTAATGGCCTTCAGGTTAACCCAGTGGGTACCAGCAATTGTTCTGGTAAGTAAAGATGATTGTCATAATGTTTGACCACATCACATGTCATAATGTTGACTACATCACATGTCATAATGTTGACCACATCACATGTCAAAATGTTGACCACATCACATGTCATAATGTTGACCACATCACATGTCATAATGTTGACTACTTCACATGTCATAATGTTGACTACATCACATGTCATAATGTTGACTACTTCACATGTCATAATGTTGACCACATCAGATGTCATAATGTTGACCACTTCACATGTCATAATGTTGACTACATCACATGTCATAATGTTGACTACTTCACATGTCATAATGTTGACCACATCACATGTCATAATGTTGACCACATCACATGTCATAATGTTGACCACTTCACATGTCATAATGTTGACTACTTCACATGTCATAATGTTGACTACTTCACATGTCATAATGTTGACTACTTCACATGTCATAATGTTGACTACTTCACATGTCATAATGTTGACTACTTCACATGTCATAATGTTGACCACATCACATGTCAAATGCTGATTGGTCCCTAAAAATATGGGGTAGCCCCATGTGCCTCAATATGCCTCAAGAAACAGAAAAGGGTCCTTTACAATGTGCAGTACCTAGTATCTTGTTGGGCAACATAAGCATTATGAAACCTGGTTAAATGTGTGCTGTAAAAAAAAAAATAGGACCCTTTTCAAACGCCTTTAGGCGTATAGGGCATATAGGGCTAGACCTATATTTTTATAGACCAATCGGCACAAGATGGGTGATGTGGTCAGCATCCCATTTCTCTGAGGGCATTAATATTATCAGCATGATCCATAGGCTGACCGTCGGTAGTGATAGCGGATCCAGCCAACCTGTCAGCTCTTTCATTTCCATCGACGCCTGCGTGTCCCGGAACAAAAATAAAGGTGACTCCAAGCACAGTTGACTTCTGTAATGATTCAAGCCATTGTCTTCGCACTGAACCTGCCTGAACCCTCCGGATAATACTCATTGAATCACTGAGTATACATACGCGGGTGTATTTTTGTGTTTCAAGCCAGACAAACGCTTGCGTCACTGCCATCACCTCCATAGTCTGCTGGTTGTCACGGAGAAGGCGCCGTTGGCTTCTTTAACTGTTCTGCCCGCTGAGCGTGCTGTGAATGCCCATGTGTTTCTTTTTTGGCATATAACGGATCCGTCTGTAGATTAATGCATCTGCTTCATCTGAATTTTCACTGATGAGAGCGTTGACCTCTGCATTAACCATACCAGACCTGAGGCCCTGAACCTAACTGTCCCTATAACCAGAGCTCCTGGGCACTAACACGAAAACCCAACATGGTGTACCAAAAAATTAGTTACATGCAAACAAGTGGTTAGAATAAGATAAAACTTGGAGACATTGTAGAAAATAGGTTTACCTGTCATCTAGCGCCAATCTTCCTACTTTGTATACCAATTCACCAAGTGTAAGCACCAGATGTTGCTGTTTGAGGAATACACCCCCTTCTCTTACTATCGATCTAGTTCTAGATCTATAATTTTCATAATTCTCCTCACTCTAGCTCTCACTGACTGTGTCACTTCAATTAGGAACGTATTCTTCATGAACGTATTCACAGTCTGAATTAACCAAAGTATCCATCACCTGTTGGACTGAAAAGCTTAGACCTACGTCACTTTCTTGTCGAAGCCGCTCATTTCATTGAAAATTGTCCGAATTGTTTTCACATCAAACCACACAAAGAAATCTCAACACATTTGGGAAGTCATTTGCAATGACTAACAGCGAAGTCTGAAGGCGACTGGCTGGTTATTTTTAGTCTGTGACGCATATTTTTCACGTACTACGTAAATTCCCGGAAAATGATGCCAGCGGTATAACAGCTAGTTAGGAAATTCCTGGAAAATCGGGCCAGTGGTCTGGTAGGGTTAACAGCAACAGGATTCTCTTCTCTACATCGCCTGTTGAGTGTGACAATACAGGAAAATGTACAAATAAACGCATGAGGCACAGGTATCCACTCTGCACCAGGTATGATGTCGGTTATGCTGCATATCTGCCTAATAACATCTTCTGCCCGACCTAGCCATGATTTTCCCCTGTTCAGTCTGTTGCCCTTTTCACTAAAAAGTGCTTGATGCAGTGGGTGTTTCTTATCAGCACATGTTGATTGTTGCACCTGAGTTATACCCAGTTCACATGGTGCGTTTGCGACTGAAAGATTTATCACAGTCTGTCATCAGCCATAGGGTTGATTGCCTTTTACCTTTGAATCCATGTGGCTCTCATTTCAGAACTCACCTGACGCCCTACCTGGAGGTTGTGCTGACCAAGATGCAGGACCTGCTGACTATCAACTCCCCAGACAATGGGCTCACACATTCCTTGTCTGACAGTGACCAGCTCTTCATCTATGAGACTGCAAGCACCTTGATTGTCTCCAGCTCTATAGAACCGGAGGTCAGCTTTCATTTTTCAGTGATTTGTATGTTTCTTTTTGCATTGTATGTATGTGTGCTTTCTTTTGGAGCAAGTCTATTCAGCTGGCAGCCTATGGGCCAAGTCGACAATCAAAGGCCTAAAAGGTGGTCGAGAATTATTTCCAGTTGTATTGTAATAATCATCTTTGTACACAGGGACGTGGACCACCGACCTGTGGTAATCCCTATTTTTAATATTTTGGCCCTCTAAGTAAACTTAGTTAAATAGCCCTTGTTAACACACACACATACTTTCTTTGGCAGTCATTGTATTCTATTTATAGTAGGTAAATACAAATACTTTGTTCAGAGTAATGTGAGTTTTCATGTATACTTTCTCAAAGAATAATTTGTGTATTATTACTAAGCAATGATTTGTGTGTTTCTTGCAGTAATTTGTGGCCATTTTCTTAACCAGTATTTGTGTATCATTTCTTTAGCATTAATTTGTGTATTTTCTTTAGTATTTATTTGTGTTTACTTTCTGTAACAGTAATTTGTGTCTTTAACAGTAACGTTTTTTAAGCATTAGTTTGTGTATAATGTGTAGCAGTTTCTATGCACACATCTTTAGCAGTAATTTCTATATACTTTGTTTAGACATAATTTGTAGTTACTCTGTCTATCAGGAATTTATGTACACTTTATTTGGAAATGTTTGTTATGAACATACACATGAAACATGTATGTAACATACAAATAGTGCGTGGGTGCATGTTGCGATTTCAGTCACAGACGGGAGGGAAACTTTAGATTGTTGCGCTTTCAGTATAAAAGGATTCCCTTTTCCTCACCTCACATGTCGGCAAGCTCTGTGCCGGCTTTAAACAACCGCATGCAAGACTCCGACTGTATATCGTCATTGTTCAGCATGGATAAATTATCGTCACAACTCTAAACCCAACTGGCAGGAAATCTCAAGAGTTGATGGCAGTAATCAGAAATGTTAAAGTGCAAATGCCTCTGGTACCTAGCCCCCCCCCCCCCCCCCCAGTCACAACTGAGTGACATTCCATTGAAAGTGTCCTCTGCCAACTGTACAAGCAGGTTCTTAATACTTTCATCCTGGGAATGCTAATAAAACAAAACTGGGCAATGAACCCATAGAAATCTCTTGGAAGTTTCAAAACCCAACCATATAACACAGGTCACAAATACATTACATTTATTTCTTCTTCTTCTTTAGCATTCCGAGCCCTTGAGGTTTATTACAGATTTCACCCGCCTCCACTCATCTCTCTGGTTGGCCTTCTCTTTCCAGTTGGTAAATCCAAGTGTTTGCAGATCTCTCTGGACATTATCTCTCCATCGTCTTCTTGGTCTGCCTCATGGTCTAGGACCATTCGTCTCCCTTGTGTATACAGTTTTTTACCTCTCTGTCATTTGACATTCTCTCAGGATGCCCCAGCCATATCAGCCTATTAGCATTCATAATGCCTATGATCAGTGGTGATTTAAACAGATCACGAATTTCGTTGGTGCTTCTGACTCTTCATTCCCTGCTGTTTACATCTTTTATGGGTCCAAAGATTCGATACTAGATTTTTTAATAATGTTATTTTTCTACAATTTAAATTTTTCAAAATATGTATTGTGTGACTCAATCCGTAACTCTCTGACCTTTGTCACTGAGGCTTTTGGTAAAACTTGACATCGACTTAGCTTTCAAAAGACCATTAAAAACTCTCTGCTGTTTTTAGTTACTGTATTTATAACCTGGCCTATTAAACACCGCACAGGTGCACACTGGACCAATGACATTTATCTACACTTTTCAAAAACAGGTAATTGCAGATGTGGCCTTATATGGACATTTCGAGGGATGTTTCACAACCAAAAGTGACTAGATTTAGGCTTCTTGGGGTGAAAGGGTTCAGTTTATAGTGTGTGGTTGCTACCAAATGACATTTGTAATTTATGTTCCATTTCTAAATGATAAATAGAAATAAATGCCCAGCATGATTTGTCTTTTCCTTGACACAGTATCGGGGCTACAGGCAATAGGTGATTCCAGTCTTAGATAACTTCTCCATTCTTCTCCTTAACTAGTTTTTGTCTTGTTGCAGAAAAAGCAGATTCTGATGAAGCAGCTGTTGCTGCCAATAGCCAGCAAGTTCAACATCATGTTGACAAAATTACAAGAAGAGCAGGATGAGAAAAGACAGCTGGCATATGCTGACTGTATTCACAACGCCATGTCTCTTGCCAGGTGGGATGCTAAGTATTAAGTATGGTTCACATCTTCTTCTTCTTCTTAGCATTCACCAGCTGTAAAATCTGGCAGAAAGTTCTGGTTGTTCCTCCATTTTGAATTTTAGTCTTGTTCGAGAGTTTTACGTGCACATGTTTCACAGATCTGGCTTATTTGTATGCAGGCTGTTGGTTCCTCACTTCACAAGCAGATGCACTCTGACTTCAGAATAACCTCTTTACTGTCCTTTGTTGCCTCTTATGCCATGCATTATTGGTCACAACATTACTTTTTTTTTTTTCACTTCTCTTATATAGGCCCTAGTAATAACGTATTTGAAAGATGTAGTATATTCTCCCATGGAGCATAGGCCCTTAGTCAGTTCGTCAAATCTTTTGCTGTGACATGCTTAAGCCTACCCCGTGTCCTCCCAACCATTTTCTCCTCACTTTCTTGTTCCCGTCTGTATGTATTTTATAAATTTGTCTTTGTTAAAAAAACCTTGCAGGTTAGGGTGCAAAGGCATTTTTATTATATTGTTATCAAGTTTCAAGCTTCTCACCCATTTATTTACTATTATTCATTCTATTGTTTCCCAAAGCTCTACATTAGTGATTCTGTCTTTTCATTTCATTTATTCCCCGCAGGCACCATAAATGAGGATGTCTATTATATAAAACAAATAAAACTGCATTAAAACAGTTACTTTGTAATTCAACTGCCCATTTGTAATACTTTCAGCCGTGCCAGTAAAGGTTTCTCGGGACAACAGACCATGAAGCAGTGTGGCTGTGTGTTGGCTTTCACTGAATTGCTGTCCATCTTCCTGGCTGCCCTAGAGGTTACCAACCAAAGGGCTTCATTGCAACAGGGAGTCAGACAGTATTTACATAGAATGGTATAGTTGAGCATTTGTTTTCATCTGAATAATTCTGTGATATTGATCGGGCTTGTGCTGTTTTTATTATTTTAATCTTCTCTTCTTCTTCTTCTGCCTTTCAATCCCCCAATGGAGCAAAGGCCCTCAACCAACTCTCGCCAAGTCTTTCTATCCTTTGCCATTGCATGGAGCTCTCCCCATGTCCTCCCCCATCTTTCTAACTTCACTCTCCAGCTCTCTTCATGTGCTTTTTGGCCTTCCTTTATTCCTATGCCCCTGTGGGTTCCAATGCAAAGACATTCTAGTTATGCTGTTCTCCTGTTTTCTCAGTTTTGTGTCCTATACAACGCCAGCGTCTTTTCCTTACCTCTTGGTCCACTGGAGCCTGTTTAGTTCTCTCCGAAAGCTCTACATTAGTTATTCTATCATACCATTTAATTTTAATGCTGTTAAAAAAAAATTTATTTTCCTCGTAATATTCAGTGTGGTGTTTGTAATTAGACCATGTAAATGATTTCAGCTTATGGGATCAAGTTGATTACAAATTTTGTAGCATAAAATATGGAAAACCTTGGGAAAGGCTGAGTCAGTTACAATCACAATATGTGTGTGTGTGTGTGTGTCGTGTTCTCTAACCAGCGGAAAGCTGCAGTGGCGGCTCCACCTCCATTTTGAAGCTGGATTTTGTGGTATCACATGTTAGGCTCTCCTGCATCAAACATCGACCATTAACTTTTGCTAATGAGGGTTTTACAAATCTTAGTAATTGAATAGATTAATTCCTGTTTGGGTTCCAGGGCACCATGTGGGAAAAACATGAATAGACCCACTGCCTTCCCAGCAAGCATGTTGTAAGAGTCGACTAATCTGGGGTTTCCTTCAGAGTCGGAGTGCATCTGCCTGAGAGGCAGGGAAAAAGCAGCCTGCTTACAGATGTCAGATCTGTAAAACATGTGCATGTAACACTCAGGTTCTGGATCAACACTGCAGTCCAGATATGGATGAACAACAGAACTTTCCACTAGAGTTTACATCATTTAAAAAAAAAAACGCACACACACACGCCCAGGCAAACACGACACACACAACATACTTGCACAATGCAAGTAATAACATTACCATATCATTAAAATAATATAACATATTCTATTTTTCTTATCACATAAATTTTTGTCGCTGTGATTGCAAATCAGTAACTATTTTGAATCAAGGTCTCAGATGATAACAGCCTGATTACTTGATTATTGTTACTTGATTAAAGTGATTAAATTCTGTTAATTCAGTAAAATATAACTTATTCTTCTACTTCCTCTGTGTTCCTCCTAGAAAGGGCAGTTTCATTACAGCTTCTTCTTCTGCACTGGCCCCAGCTGTGGTTTACAGCTAGGCTCTGATATCTGTGTCTTCGGCTCAGCACATCTGATTTCAGCATAATCTATATGAGTCACCTTTTAGGATGCGCTTGGTAAAGGACCATTCAGTTCAGTATTATTACAATGCTGTTAAACTAGGATCAGGGCCCTGCCCTTATGTCTTGTCCCCCTTTGCCTAGGCTTTGGGGTGAAAAAATGGGGGAGGGGTGGGGGTGGCTGTTGCGGCCCTCTTCCAAATGTTTTATCTTGTGTGGATGTGCCTGGCTTTACTGTCTGGGACTTTTCATGGTGTCAGTTCAGGCTTGAATCAATGTGGGAGCCAACCTAATTATGAAATTGCCATAAAGTGGATTGGAATGTATGACCTTTGACTGGCGATTACTGCGAACATATGAATGATTGTTGTTGTTGGTTTCTGGTTATTTACGGCTGTCATTCTGTTTGATAAAAGTTACATAATGCTGTCTGATTACAGCCCATTCTGTTTGATAAAAGTTACATAATGCTGTCTGATTACAGCCCATTCTGTTTGATAAAAGTTACATAATGCTGTCTGATTACAGCCCATTCTGTTTGATAAAAGTTACATAATGCTGTCTGATTACAGCCCATTCTGTTTGATAAAAGTTACATAATGCTGTCTGATTACAGCCCATTCTGTTTGATACAAGTTACATAATGCTGTCTGATTACAGCCCATTCTGTTTGATAAAAGTTACATAATGCTGTCTGATTACAGCCCATTCTGTTTGATAAAAGTTACATAATGCTGTCTGATTACAGCCCATTCTGTTTGATAAAAGTTACATAATGCGGTCTGATTACAGCCCATTCTGTTTGATAAAAGTTACATAGCTGTCTGATTACAGCCCATTCTGTTTGATAAAAGTTACATAATGCTGTCTGATTACAGCCCATTCTGTTTGATAAAAGTTACATAATGCTGTCTGATTACAGCCCATTCTGTTTGATAAAAGTTACATAATGCTGTCTGATTACAGCCCATTCTGTTTGATAACAGTTACATAATGCTGTCTGATTACAGCCCATTCTGTTTGATAAAAGTTACATAATGCGGTCTGATAACAGCCCATTCTGTTTGATAACAGTTACCTAATGCTGTCTGATTACAGCCCATTCTGTTTGATAAAAGTTACATAACGCTGTCTGATTACAGCCCATTCTGATAAAAGTTACATAATGCTGTCTGATTACAGCCCATTCTGTTTGATAACAGTTACATAATGCTGTCTGATTACAGCCCATTCTGTTTGATAAAAGTTACATAATGCTGTCTGATTACAGCCCATTCTGTTTGATAAAAGTTACATAACGCTGTCTGATTACAGCCCATTTTGTTTGATAAAAGTTACATAACGCTGTCTGATTACAGCCCATTCTGTTTGATAAAAGTTACATAATGCTGTCTGATTACAGCCCATTCTGTTTGATAACAGTTACATAATGCTGTCTGATTACAGCCCATTCTGTTTGATAAAAGTTACATAATGCTGTCTGATTACAGCCCACTCTGTTTGATAAAAGTTACATAATGCTGTCTGATTATAGCCCATTCTGTTTGATAAAAGTTACATAATGCTGTCTGATTACAGCCCATTCTGTTTGATAAAAGTTACATAACGCTGTCTGATTACAGCCCATTCTGTTTGATAAAAGTTACATAATGCTGTCTGATTACAGCCCATTCTGTTTAATAAAAGTTACATAATGCGGTCTGATTACAGCCCATTCTGTTTGATAAAAGTTACATAATGCTGTCTGATTACAGCCCATTCTGTTTGATAAAAGTTACATAACGCTGTCTGATTACAGCCCATTCTGTTTGATAAAAGTTACATAACGCTGTCTGATTACAGCCCATTCTGTTTGATAAAAGTTACATAACGCTGTCTGATTACAGCCCATTCTGTTTGATAAAAGTTACATAACGCTGTCTGATTACAGCCCATTCTGTTTGATAAAAGTTACATAATGCTGTCTGATTACAGCCCATTCTGTTTGATAACAGTTACATAATGTTGTCTGATTACAGCCCATTCTGTTTGATAACAGTTACATAATGCTGTCTGATTACAGCCCATTCTGTTTGATAAAAGTTACATAATGCTGTCTGATTACAGCCCATTCTGTTTGATAACAGTTACATAATGCTGTCTGATTACAGCCCATTCTGTTTGATAAAAGTTACAGAATGCTGTCTGATTACAGCCCATTCTGTTTGATAACAGTTACATAATGCTGTCTGATTACAGCCCATTCTGTTTGATAAAAGTTACATAATGCTGTCTGATTACAGCCCATTCTGTTTGATAAAAGTTACATAATGCGGTCTGATTACAGCCCATTCTGTTTGATAAAAGTTACATAACGCTGTCTGATTACAGCCCATTCTGTTTGATAAAAGTTACATAACGCTGTCTGATTACAGCCCATTCTGTTTGATAAAAGTTACATAACGCTGTCTGATTACAGCCCATTCTGTTTGATAAAAGTTACATAATGCGGTCTGATTACAGCCCATTCTGTTTGATAAAAGTTACATAACGCGGTCTGATTACAGCCCATTCTGTTTGATAAAAGTTACATAACGCTGTCTGATTACAGCCCATTCTGTTTGATAAAAGTTACATAACGCTGTCTGATTACAGCCCATTCTGTTTGATAAAAGTTACATAACGCGGTCTGATTACAGCCCATTCTGTTTGATAAAAGTTACATAATGCTGTCTGATTACAGCCCATTCT